CTCTCTCTCTCTCTCTCTCTCTCTCTCTCTCTCTCTCTCTCTCTCTCTCTCGGAAAGACTGAAGTGGAACTGAAACTGGAGTGGGGCTGAAAGTCTGTTCAGAGCTGTAGTTGTCAGCGGAGAATGTCATGACGGCGCTGCCTTGGAAACACTCCTCAGAGTTGGAAGCCCAAGTGTGTCGGGGGAAGGTGGGGTGGTGAGGAAGAAGTGATAGCCTCGGGACAGATAAGCTCCAGGGAAGGGAAAAAGAGGGAGGGAACAAGGGAGGGAGAGGTGGGCAGCTCTCTCTCTGTCTCTCTCAGTCAGACTTGCCGGCTGCTGGTCTCTTCTTCCTCCTGTCTGCTCGGGTTCTTCTTCTTTGCCGGTGGCTGGCCGGAGGAGTTTATCTGCTGTTTTGGCTGCCGTTTGGATGTGAACATGGACTGAGCAGCTACATGCAGCGAGACAGGAGAAGAGTCACTGGAGATTCACTGTAAGCGGCTTGATCTGTTGTGCTGTCTACAAGGTGTAGTGTGTCATCACTGGAATATGTCTCTCTGAAAGATTGTTACTATTTCAGGAGTGTGTGTGTGTATTTGTGGAGGAAATAGAGTAGCGGCTACAGTATGTGATGCTCTGTGCTTATTTATGTGCATGAATGTGGGTTAAAAGTGGCTCTAAATATGACTAGTTTTTAAATCTTTTACATTAGACAACACAAGCTGCTTTTTTTTTTTTTTTACCTTTTGTAGATACACTCAACATTTTCTTTAGTCTGGATGCTACCAGGCACTCAGCCTCTCCTCCTCGCTCCCTCTCTCCCCCCTTATGGCTCATCTCCTGTCGCCTTTAATTCTCTTAATGATCTCGAGGCCCCAGCTGGCCAACTGGGATGCCCCTGTGTGTGTGTATGTGTGTCTTTGTGCTTTTGTTTGGGAGAGACAGAGTTGAGACTTCTGGGATAGGCTACCCGAGGATTTCCCCCGCTCACACACAATAATAGGATAGATCCTGCTCTCTATTTTTAAACACACTGTTTGTCTATATGTTACAAACACCCCTAATCTGACGCCCTGCTCCGCACTGCCTGCAGTAGCTCTTCTCCCAGTGTGTGTTTAGTCTATGGATTGGGGTGGGAGGGTGTATTTGTGTGGTCCATCCTGGGATAGAGAGATCGCAGACCTCCTTTTTTTTGACTTTATCCTTTTGTTTTGTCAGCTGCTGACCTCAGTTTCTCTCTCCCTCTCTCTCTCCATCTCTCCCATTGTTTGTGTTCTCTTTATTTCTGTCACATCCATACAGCCTTCCTCCACCGCAGCCTCTCTGCCTGCCGTCTATAGTTAGTCCCTTTATTTAAATAAGCTCTTTTTTAGGCACTGTTTTTAATTTCCTTCCTTGTTTTCTCTTTGTTTTCTGCCTTTCTCTGGTTGCAATGCGAGAACAGCGGGGAGGTTTCTCGGTGTCACGCTGTTTGTGTGTGTGTGCTTGTGTGGATGTACTTTTCCCCATCAAATGTCCTGGCACAGCACCCAATGTTCCACTTTGAACAGGGCAATTTTGGAGAACATTGGGTGAGACCGACAAGTGCCTCAATCAAAAAACCTATGTGTGTGTGTGTCACAGAGGTAATTATTTCCACGAACTGTCGATTATCGTTCGATTGCTGGTTCTATTAATTGCCAGCTTCCAGAGCACAAAGTGACACCTTCTGATTGCTCACTTTGCTTAACCACTGGTCCAAATCCCAGATATGTTTAATGAACAATGGTATAAAAATAGGAAAGCAGCAAATCCTCACATCTGAGAGCAGGAAATGTTTGGGCAGTTTTTAGCCATGCTATCTTCACGCCTACTGAGATTGAAATGTCAATCTGACTGTTCACCACTTTGATTCAGGATGAAGTGTCTCAACCATTCACTGACTGTACCGACATAGAATATTGTGCAGACATTCATGGTGGCCATCATATGGTCAAAGTAATTATTTGTTGAATATTTTTAAACCAAGTATCAGGATAACTAACTGCATTTCTATGCTTTTTCTTTGTTCATAAATTGTCAATCATTAGCATACTAACACTAAGCTAAGACTGTCAATATGTTGTGGCATTGCCTGCTAAGCAGCCAGGGGGTTTTCTCTCGTTCTGCACAGTGAAGCCAATGCAGAAGTGCCTTAAACCTGCATTCTTTCTAATGGCCAGCAGTGGGTGACTCCACTGGTTGAACAAAAAGTCAGATTGTACTGACATTTGTGGGAGAATGATCCTGCTTCTCACTTTACTTATTATCTCAGTGAACATTTTTCCAATTAGTTTATGGTCTCAATTGATAGCCTGAAGTCTTCTTTAATACCGCATGATGTTTATTTTGTAAATGATGGTCCTATTTAGGGTGAAATAGACGAGAAAGCAGAGTATGCTTGACAAGTTGCAATTACAGCTGTATCCTTGGGTTCTCAGACAGCTGACATGTCCACCCTCTCATTCAAATATGGTCACTTATGGCTTCAAAAAACAAAGTGGCGATGGCTAAAATGCCAAGCCCCAGGCTTTAACCCTTTGGGGTCAAGATATAATTGGCCGTTTTTGACTACTTTTGATTTTACCTTTAAATTTCACCTTAAAAACTGTTTACTTTGCCTTGTTTGGTGACATTTTTTTCAGCACAACCTCACACGTGTGACTTTACAGTTATTTTTTCATTTTGACATACTGCATTAACACATTGGACCTAAAATCACACAAAAAACACCACCAATAGGAAAGGATTTTCTGCTTGCGAGCACTTTCCTTAGAATAGCCCATTTTTACTATTTATTCCTACACCAAACTCAAACCAAACGTGACAACAATATTCAGGAAAAAGCATGGCATAAATTATTTATCATAAGCCTGGTTTTACTTAGTCTCGCCACCAGACAATCAGAGATCTCCGCCTTCTGATAGTCTTGGGACACTCCTTTCTAAAGTGTGTTTAACACACCGGAGAAAACGGCCGGCAACAAAGCAACGCCTCTTGCATTTTTGAAAAGGACACGCCTTCTTGGAAATGTGCGCTCCTCCTTTTCTCGTCCGCAAGGAAACAAACACACAGAGAGCTTGAAAATGGATGCCTATAGATTTAATTCCGTTTTATCAAACGTGTGCTCAGTCCACAAGATTGTGGAAATAAAGGACTTACAGCGACTTTGTTTAAAACTTTTAACGCAGTCAGACTATGTTTACGAGCACAAGAGTTCAGCGAGCCACTGAAGGACCGCCCTGCGGATTTACTATTGATTCTGCAACGTAGGGAGTTTTTTTAAACTCTGAAATTGTGTCCGCCCATCTAAACACAAAATCAGGGAGAAAGATCAGTCTTTAGTTAAGCAAAGCGTCTAAAGACTGACTTGTCAGTCTAGGTTTTACTTGGCCTATCAACACAATTAAAAAATGGTATATAGTTTGAAGTTCACACTTTTGACATAAGTTGAAACGGAGACTCAGTGAGGCTGGGTCTTGCTGCTATGTCATCTTAAATCGGTCATGTGATTTGGATGCACCGGCGCGTCCGTCGACTCCAGAAGGTTAAAACAGTAGTCCACAATCCAGTGGGTGATGTCACAGTGGCTACATCCACTTCTGTGCATGTTAGCACAAAAACCAGCATATGACACTGTGCTGACATTAGCACTTAGCTTAAAGCATCACCGTTCCTTAGAGCTGCATGTATGGCTGTAGATTTGTTGTGTTGTTACTTGATAAATGATTTAAACAATTAATTGATTATTACAATTGTAAATTTTCTCCCAGATCACTAATAGACCAAATCAAAATGTTTGTTTCCAAACCCTCCACAGCACGTACACTAAATGAAACAGTGCCAAGAAAACACTGGCTCAAATTGATTAGTTACTAGCCACCTAAAAAAATCAATATGAGTTTAAGTGTATGCTTTATTTAGCATATTTTCACCTCATTACCTTCTTGTCAGACAGTCATTTCGGAAAGGAGGAACTGAAGCCATTATCTCAAAGCCACCAGACTCCATTGACAAAAAGAGTAATTTTAGAACACGGGAGTTGCTGGTCTGCCTCGATCAATTCGTTTTTAAGGTAAAGCAGTGAAAGTATACTAAATATAGAGTACACTTATACTGATATTGATTTTGTTAGGTGGCTAAAATAGGTTTTGCTGCAGCCTCTGTCCACAGCAGTACACTGCTCAGCTTCTGTGGTTCACCATAGACAAAAGCAAAGCAACACAGTACATAAAATAAGCCCCGCAGTAACGTCAGACAGGACAGACCGTGTATCACTATATATCTCTGAACGTTACATTTACAGCTGAAAACGACAAGACAAATAAATAATGTTTGTCGATTTCACATATTTTCACAGTTCAAATCAGTTGCCAGGTGTCTACCCAGAATTATTACCGGGACGTCACAGTGATTTGAACTCTTAGCTTTTAAGTCTCCCTCTCTTAAATGTTTAAAACCATCTAGTGAAACTAACGAAAATTAGTGTCCCAAGTGTTGCTTTAGATGTCATCACATCATGAGTGTTAAAAAAAAATTATTCATGGGTTGCGTTCGGCTCGTGTGGGTGTAACGCGTTTCATCACAGTCTTGTGCAAGCGGGTCAGATGTTAAACGAGCGAGGCAGCAGCAGTGCGTCATATTCAGGCAGACTTTGATTCAGTTTCATTACTGCTGGGGTTGTGAATCTGCCACCTGAATCTGCTGCTACCCCAGAGAGAGCTTTATGGATGGCACCGCCAAGGCCTTCTGTGTGTATGTGTGTGTGTGTCCATATGTGTATGTGAGAGAGAGATGAATAGGTTTTGCGTAGGTGTCTGTAAAGGCGTGCTCAATCACTGTAACACTAATGGTCCTCCCTTAGGGCACCATGGATTTTAAGGTGACACAGCAAGCATGAGAGGAATATAAGAATTTAGGAGCAGACAGTGTGTGTGTTCATACATCGTCTGTACTTCAGTCTGTCTGAATACACTGTGTTTAATTTTTTGGAAACTATTTAGTTTCAATTCCTGGATCACCAGCGATGCATGTTTGGTATTTAAAAGGAAAAAGGCGAGGGAGTTTTAAGAGGGAATTTTTCATTTCATGAGAAGAGCAGATTAATGTGAGCATATGAGGAAGACGTGGGAGAGGGAACATAATTCATTAGGGAGACGGTGACTGGAGTTACTTTGAAAAAAGAGTTTATTGAAGAAAGAAGGGGAGTGCTTCTCTGACTGGGGTGGGAATGCATAAAAGTGATGCATCAGGGAAATTTCACGAAAGACATCCAACGACTATTGCATAAAGGGCATTTCTCCCATGATACAGTCAATTTCATCTTTGTGTGTGTGATGGGGTTTATGCCTGTCAGTGAGCACGTGTACTCACATGCAGCTGCGTGTGAATTTGCTTGTGTGCTGTGTTTTGCAGACCGTGCTTTTCCTGCATGCTGAGCTCGCATTGATTGCCGCATGGTGGACACTGGGGCAT